AGAACCCTATTAGTGGTCTTGCTGGCTTGGGGCCACCAAGGCCCTCTTCTCCCCTGCCACCTCCAACATCAACATCCAAAGGGCACAACTGCAGCTCTTGCCAGCTCCTGCTCTGTGCACTCAGCAGCTCCAGCCTGGAAGCAGCTAGGATTCAAAATAGTTGGAGTGTTTTTTTCTTTTTTTCATTGCAGCTTCTCTGCCTTTGTGCACTCTGTAGGTCTCTCCTCCTCTTCCCATGAGCTCTAGCGGCCCCAGCTTGGCTGTTGTTGCTTTTTAATAGTTGTAAACTGGTTGATTTGTGGTAGAGAGTGACACTAGGGACCGTCAATTCTGTCATCTTGACCAGAAGCCCGTTTTACACATTAGGAAATTGAGATTCTGTGAAATGTAATTTTCCCAAAACAACAATAATAGCCAGTAAGTGGTAGGTATAGTTTGAACTCATTAAGTTTCATTCTTTGCTAGTAAAGTATATCTCCTAGAAGATAGCTTTGGCTATATTGACTGGAGAAATCTTTTGNTGCTAGTAAAGTATATCTCCTAGAAGATAGCTTTGGCTATATTGACTGGAGAAATCTTTTGGGGGGGGACTTAATAATTCAACTGTAACAAGATGAATTAAAAGTTCTCTTAAGTCTTGTACTGAGGCTTAATTTGATGAGGTTTAGTCAGCTTGATTTTTTTGTTTTTGTATTTTTTGGTGGCTGGCCAGTATGGGGAATTTGAACCCTTGACCTTGGTGTTATAACACCATGCTCTAACCAACTGAGCCAACCAGCCAGCCTGTAGCCAGCTTGTTTTGATGTGGAAGAATGAAACCTCAGATTCAGCAGTTGTGCTCCTTGGTATTTACACAAAAGAGTTGAAAACTTTTATGTCCACGCAAAAACCTTTATACAGACATTTATATCAGCTTTATTCATAATTGCCAGAACTTGGAAGCAGCTAAGAGGTCTTTCAGTAGGTATAATAGACTGTGGTACATTTAGGCAATATAATATTATTCAGCATTAAAAATAAACGAGCTATTAAACCATGAGAAGACATGGGAGGAACATAAAATGCATTTTACTGAGTGAAAGAAGCCAACCTCAAAAGGCTATATACTGTATGATATCAACCATATGACATTCTGGAGAAGGCAAAACTATGGAGACAGTAAAAAGAGCAGTTGGTTGGTAGGAGTTAGTTGGGAGGGAGGGATGAATAGGCAGGCATAAGACGAGAATTTTTAGGGCAATGGAACTACTCTGTATGATACTATGATGTTGGATAAATGTCATTATACTTGTCCAAACCTACAGAATGTACAACATGAATAGTGAACCCTCATGTAAACTGTGAGCTTTGGGTGATAATGATGTGTCAGTGTAGTTTCATCAGTTGTAACAATTGTAGCACTCTGGTGGGGAATGTTGATAATGTGAGAAGCTGTGCATGTGTGGAGGCAGGGTATATGGGAAATCTCTGTACCTTCTCAGTTTTGTTGTGAACCTAAAACTGCTTTAAAAAATAAAGCCTATTGGGCCGGCCCCGTGGCGCACTCGGGAGAGTGCAGCGCTGGGAGCTCAGCGACGCTCCCGCCGCGGGTTTTTGTTGTGAACCTAAAACTGCTTTAAAAAATAAAGCCTATTGGGCCGGCCCCGTGGCGCACTTGGGAGAGTGCAGCGCTGGGAGCTCAGCGACGCTCCCGCCGTGGGTTCGGATCCTATATAAGGATGGTCGGTGCGCTCACTGGCTGAGCGCGGTGCGGGCAACACCAAGCCAAGGGTTGCGATCCCCTTACCGGTCACAAAAAAGACAAAAAATAAATAAATAAAACAAAATAAACCTATTAAGAAAAAAGAAACTGCAGCCAGCAACCCTACTTGTTGGCACTGGTTCATTTATCCTGCTGGTATTTCAGGTGCTGTATCATTCATATCAGCACGTATAGACTCTCTCCTTTTCCTAGGCTTGATATGGTTTTCTTCCCCACACAAACTTTGATCATTTTGAAAATAATTTCCTTTTGATCTTATTCTTGACTGTGCTGTAATATTTGTGATTCCCATTTTCTCTTTTTTCCCTTTCTTTTCCTGATCTTGTAACTAAATCAGGAAAATTATGGTGCTTCAGATTCCCTTCCTGTTTTACAAGGACTGCATTAATGTGATAGGATTATGCTGAATCTGGGAAAGAGTTGTGTTATTCAGAATGATTCACCGACTCCTTTGCCATTCCAGTGTACCACCAGCACCGCATGCATGTGTGTCTACGGACTCCTCTCTTTTGTTCTGACCTCGCTGGAGCTGCACACACTGGGCAATCAGCAGGTCAGTGTCTGGCTTTCATGAGGCATCTACACTGCCCAGGGGTATCTGAAATACCCCAATCAGGTCTGATATTGTTTCCTCATGTGTTAATTTGTTTACTATTCATTTTTATTATATTATGCAAGTGATACATGTTAATTGTAGAAAAACCAGAAAATGCTGACAAAAAGAAAAAAGTGTAATATTATCAAGTAGGATAACTTCTGTTAACATTTTAATGTGTTCTCTTCCATTTTATGCACACATATATACATAAAAATATATTAATTTTTCTCTACAAATGGAATCAATGTATATACTATTTTGTAACCTCATTTTTTACTGTGTATTGCATCTCTCCCAGACAACTGTGGATGCTAATAAATATTTGTATTATTCTGTTCTTATTGCTTATAACAAAATACTTGAAACTGGGTGATTTATAAAGAAGGTGAAATTTATTGTTTACAGTTTCTGAGGCTGGGAAGTCCAAAGTCCATGTGGTAGTGGTGATAGTGATTCAGGGATCTCACATTGCAAGATGGTGGAAGCAGAGAAAGAGACAGACAGACTCTCCTCCTCTTTTAAAGCCCTCAGAACCATGTCCCTTGACCACCATTTTTAATCCATTCACTACAGCCTGGTCCTACAGTCCAAACCCTCTTCAAGGCTCCACCTTTCGACTACCATAATAGGATCTCCTGCCCTCTTAACAGACACAATGGGGACCAAGTTTCTATGCATAATACTTGGGGGACACAATTCAAGCTTCAGTGAGTTTTGGGAGGACCGAATTCAATCTACTACAATATTCTTCTGAAATATTTTTTTTAAATGAAACATTTTAAACATATGTCAAAGTACAGGCAAAAATTGTGTATTGAACCTTCATAATCTCATCACCAGCTTCCAACAGTTATCAACTTATGGCTAATCTTAATTCATTTCTTCCTCTTCCCTCCTTGATTATTTTGATGACAATCCCAGATATCATTTAATTTCATCTATGAATATTTCAGTACTTCAACCATTATCACACCAAAAAAAAACCCAAACAAACAAACCCGGTATCAAGTTAGATTCAATTCCAGTTGTCTCATAAATGTTGTAAATTTGTCATGTTTATTTGGATTAAGATCTAAATGAGGTCCATAAATTGTAAAAGGTTGATAAGTTTTTAAATTTTCTATTATTCTGTAACTGCACTGTTCATTATAGTAGCCACAAGCCATATGTTGCT